CATCTCCTTCTCTTTGCAATACTGTTTCACTGCTTGCTGCTCCCGGTTGAGGGTGGACAAGGCATTCTCAAGGCGCCCCTCCATCTCTGACACTTTCTAAAGGGGGAAAACAAAAAGGACAAAAGAACTGGCGTCTAGAAGAGGCTCTGAGATGCAACTAGGGTAGATGGACATTTGGACTGACCCACTACTTAAAGGAGAGACCCTCTGAGGTCACATTGAGTGAACTGACGTGTCCACAATTAGGTGCTAATGGGACATGGTGCAAAAATAGATTCCAACCCTTGCCCAGCCATTCAGTTGGAGGCTCACCTCTTTTTGCCTCCCCAGGGCCTGTTCTGCTGCCTCTTTCTCAGCTTGCAGTTGATGTAACACTGTTGTTCGCTCCGCCTCATGCCGGTTCCAGCCCTCCACCACTTTGGCCAGGGTCTGTGGGGAGGAAAATAGAAAATTCAAGGATTACTGATAGGGACCACCCTGCCAAAAAAAGACCTCTTCCTGGGGATGGGCAAAATACAACCCCAATCCCTCTGACCCTTACCAATGGTAGTGAGAAATAAACTGGGTTGTTGTAGGTTTTTTGGGCTATATGGCCATGTTCTAGAGGCATTCTCTCCTGATGTTTCACCTGCATCTATGGCAAGCATCTTCAAAGGTAATGAGGTCTGTTGGAACTAGGAAAACAGGATTATATATCTGTGGAAGGACCAGGGTGAGACAAAGGACTCTTCTCTGCTGGAGCTAGGTGTGAATGTTTCAACTGACCACCTTGATTAGCATTTGATGGCCTGGCAGTTGTTTGGTGTGGCTTGTTAGTGCCTCGGGCAATCTTTGTTGAGAGGTGATTAGATGTCTTTGATTGTTTCCTCTCTGTTGTTTTGCTGTTGTAATTTTTGAATTTTTTTAATACTGGTAGCCAGATTTTGTTCATTTTCATGGTTTCCTCCTTTCTGTTGAAATTGTCCACATGCTTATGGATTTCAATGGCTTCTCTGTGTAGTCTGGCATGAGAGTGGTCCAGCATTTCTGTGTTCTCAAATAATATGCTGTGTCCAGGTTGGTTCATCAGGTGCTCTGCTATGGCTGACTTCTCTGGCTGAAGTAGTCTGCAGAGCCTTTCATGTTTCTTGATTCGTGTTTGGGAAATAAACTTTTTTTGGTCCCTAAATAATGCATAGTGCTTGCAAGTCTTCAGCAGGCATGCTATAGACTCTTTGGCTGAATCTGGAAGTCCTCAAAGCATGTTTAGACCTCCAATAGTCTTTCATCCTCCCTCCCCCCCTCCCAAAAAAGTAACTTCTTAGTTTGAGAAAATGCCTACATAGTGTAAAATAGCAGAAGTGGATAGGAGGCATTTGAATACATGGCAGAAAATCTCGGCAACAGCTTCCAAAGACTTCTGAGGTTTCTACTAATCATTTTTGAGCAAAAATAGGTCTGATTTCCCATTATCTGGAGTGTTGGCAGGGAGAGCTGTGAGTCGCCCCCGTGCTGAGAACAGCGGTATATAAGCAAAGTAAATAAAATAAAATAAATAAATAAGAGCGCACTGAAGCCAACAGTAGAGGAATAAAAGGAACTTTAATACAGGCAGTCCCCAAGTTACAAATAAGATACACTGAATTTATATGTAAGATGGAACAGAAATATTACTAAGTGTAACTTCAGCCTCTATACTGATCTCTCCCTCCCATCTCTATCTTTCTATCTATTTATCTATCTATCATTTATTTATTTCCAACATTTCTACCCCGTCCTTCTCAACCCCCAAAGGTGGACTCAGGGTGGCTTACAACGGCAGCAATTCAATGCTGACAACATACAACACATTACGTACAGCATTAGCCTGTTCTTCTGCCTCTTTCTCAGCTTGTTCAAGATAAAACGTTGGATTAAAATATATTTAAAACATTATTATAATCATGTAGATGAATCAAAGCCTGATTTAGCAACCGACGACCCAGTCCACAGCCTGTCATAGTCAAAATTCCAACATTATGATTACTGCCAAACCTACTGTCCAAAGGCCTGGTCCCAAAACCATGTTTTGAGCTTCTTTCTAAAAGAAAAGAGGGATGGAGCTGACCTAATCTCAATAGGGAGAGCATTCCACAGGCAGGGGACCAACACCGAGATGGCCCTGTCCCCCGTCCCGGCCAAACGCACCTGCGAAGACGCAGGACCAAGAGCAAGGCCTCCCCATACGATGTTAAATTCCGAGGCAGGACTTAGAGGGTGATACATTCAGACAGGTAAGCTGGGCCAGAACCATACAGGGCTTTATAGGCGAAGGCCAGCACTTTGAATTGTGCTCGGAACAATTCTATCTCTCTCTTCTATCTCTCTTCACTTTATCTCTCTTCTCTCTCTCTCTCTCTCTTTATCTCTTTCTCTCTATCTCTCTCTTTCCTATCTCTCTCTGTTATCTACATCTCTCTCTCTTCTCTTTCTCTTCTCTCTCTTCTCTCTATCTTTCTCTATATATAGCATAGAAAAGGGTTAATACCCCTGTGATGTTCGTTTTGCTGTCTGTGCTCCTGTTCAGAAGATTTCATCTCGCTTTCTGTCCCTGTGATAATTGGATTTTGAAAAAAACGGCTTGCTGTGGAAACAAGGATTACTGATAAAGCTTCAGTAGAGACACTTTTCCCCATGATAACTCTTTCAGAAGTGAATTTCCCTTCTGAGGGATAGATTTCTCTCACTTCCTGCTGTCTCAGCCCCGTTCTTAACTATAAGTCATTTGTAAGTTAGATGTTTGTAACTCGAGAACTGCCTATATATTGAATGTATTTTATTTATGTATTTATTATTATGATGTATTTTAACTATAGGGTCTTAGGGATAGGAAGAAATTAATCATTGAGTAGAGAAGGGGTGGGGATCCTCTTGGCTCAATGAGGGTTTTTTTTTTTTGCAACATCTAGGTCTGCCCCAGAACTCCCACTTCCCTTATTCTGAGCCTGAAGGGTGGTATAGTGGCTTCCCTGAACTGATGCCAGGCTCACCTTATCCAGCTGCTTTATCATGCTATCTTTCTTCCTGTCGGCTGAGACGGCCACAGCCAATTGTTGCTGCAGCTCCAAGATGCGGTGCTGCAAGGTCTGGATGTGACGTTCGCAGTGCTGTGGGAGGAAGGCAGAAAGCAAGAAGGAAAATAGTCAAGAACACATCTGTGGTGGTAGTACCAGGATGTCTGTGTAAATAATACCCAAGAACCTCAACAATGCACAGCCTTCAAGTTTAATTTATTATTTACTAGCCGTTCCCTGCCACACGTTGCTGTGGCCCACATGGGGGTTCTGTGTGGGAGATTTGGCCCAATTCTATCGTTGGTGGGGTTCAGAATGCTCTGTGATTGTAGGTGAACTATAAATCCCAGCAACGACAACTCCCAAATGTCAAGATTCTATTTTCCTTAAACTCCACCAGTGTTCACATTTGGGCATATTAAGTATTCTTGTAAAATTTGGTCCAGATCCATCATTGTTTGAGTTCAAAGTACTCTCTAAAACCAAAGGACACTGCCTACCAAACCGTTTCAGTATTTTCTGTTGGTCATGGGAGAACTGTGTGCCAAGTTTGGTTCAATTCCATCGTTGGTGGGGTTCAGAACGCTCTTTGATTGTAGGTGACTGCTGAATTTTCAAGATTGTACGTTTCTATGTATGATGTAATAAAAAAAAATTAAAAAACTATAAGAGGGTTTTGTGAGACCAGTCAGTCTTGTTGCAACGGTGAGGCCGTGGACCATATTTTAGTTCTTGCAGACCACCGGAGGTCCACGGACCACAGGTTGGGAACCACTGCCCTATACTAAAATTGCTCCTTTATTTAAAAGAGTGTATGGATAGGCTAGATATTAAACATGCCAACCAAAATTGCTTGAAAATTATTCCAATTTTTTAAAAATTGGTTGGGTTGGAGTTTGTTGGGTTCTTTAGGACCAATCTTCCCCCTTTTGTCATAGAATCTTTGGCAGGGGCTGAGCCCCAAATCCCAACTGTCTCCCCACTCCGGCAGGGGACAGGGCTTTGTGCCTTTGAGTTCCCCAACTCCAAAGAGAGAAGGAGATGTTCTGTAAGAGTGCTGAAAGCCAGAAAGCTTTCTTCAGGTTCCCAGCAATACCTGGGCCGGGGAGGGCAGGCTGCGTTGTAATAGGCTTAGAGGGCTAAATTGAGCCTTGGGAGGAGGGGGCAGCTAGCCCTCCACCCACCCCGGCAAGCGGCTTAAGGCCCTGCAAGGAGCTGTGAGCCAGCTCCGGCAAGGTCAGGTTTCTTCCAGGGGCACGTGGGCTGGCTCCGTGGCATGCTAGCGCCGCCTCCCGGTTGGGGCTGACCCTCTTCTGTGCGTTGCCCACGCTACCTGCCTCCTACCTTCTGAACCACATAATCATAGAGCAAGAAGAGACCACAAAGGCCATCCAGACCAACCCTCATATGCCAGGCAAGATCCTCCTGAGATGACAGCCATCCAGTCTCTCTTAAAAACCTCCAGAAAAGGAGGTTCCCAGGCAGAATATTCCTCTGTCAAACAGCCCTTGCCCTCAAAGTTCTTCCCAGTGTTTAGTGAAATGTTTTTTCTCACAATTTAAAGTCATAGCTCTGCCTCCTGGTCTCTGAGCAACAGAAAGCCTGCCACCTCCTCAATGTGACATCCTTTCAAATATTTAAACATGGCGCCCCAAATAATCAAAGGTTTGGAAGCCAAGCCCTATGAGGAAAGGCTAGGGAGATAGGTATGTTTAGCTTAGAGAATGGAAGGCTGAAAGGGGACTTGAGGGCCATGTTTGAATATTAGAAAGGATGTCACATTGAGGAAGGGGCAACCATTTTTTTTTCTTCTGCACTGGAGTCTAGGATTGAACAGATCCAAATTGGGGGAAAGAGGTAAGGTTAGGTAAAGGTTGTCCCCTGACACGAAGTCCAGTCATGTCTGATTCTGGGGTGTGGTGCTCATCTCCATTTCTAAGCCGAAGAGTTGGCGTTGTCCAAAGACACCTCCAAGGTCATGTGGCCAGCATGACTGCATGGAGCGCCGCTATCTTCCTGCCAGAGCGGTACCTATAGATCTACTCACATTTGCATGTTTTCAAACTGCTAGGTTGGCAGAAACTAGAGCTGACAGCAGGAGCTCACACCGCTCCCCGGAATCAAACCTGCGACCTTTCGGTCAACAAGCTCAGCAGCTCAGCGCTTTAAGCCACTGCACCACCAAGGGCTCCGGAGGAAAGAGATTCCACCTAAATATTAGGAATAACTTCATGATGGTAACATGAAGAGAGATGTTGACAAGCTTGAATGTGTCCAGAGGAAGGCCACCAAAATGATCAAGGGTCTGGAGAACAAGCCCTATGAGGAGCGGCTTAAAGAGCTGGACATGTTTAGCCTGAAGAAGAGAAGGCTGAGAGCAGACATGATAGCCATGTATAAATACATGAGAGGAAGCCACAGGGAGGAGGGAGCAAGCTTGTTTTCTGTTGCTCTGGAGACTAGGACACAGAACAATGGCTTCAAACTACAAGAAAGGAGATTCCACCTGAACATTAGGAAGAACTTCCCGACTGTGAGAGCTGTATAGCAGTGGAACTCTCTGCCCCGGAATGAGGTGGAGGCTCCGTCTGTTTAACAGAGTATGGATGGCCATCTGTTGGGAGTGCTTTGAATGCAATTTTCCTGCTTCTTGGCAGAATGGGGTTGGACTGGATGACCCACAAGGTCTCTTCCAACTCTAGGATTCTATGATTCAGCAGTCGAATATGCTGCCTGGGAGTCCAGTGCAGTGGAAATTCCATCTGAACATGAGGAAGAACTTCCTGACTGTGAGAGCCGTTCAGCAGTGGAACTCTCTGCCCCGGAGTGTGGTGGAGGCTCCTTCTTTGGAAGCTTTTAAACAGAGGCTGGATGGCCATCTGTCAGGGGTGCTTTGAACGCAATACTCCTGCTTCTTGGCAGATTGGGGTTGGATTGGATGGCCCATGAGGTCTCTTCCAACTCTATGATTCTATTATTCTATGATCTGTCTTTGGAGGTTTTGAAGCAGACGCTGGACGGCCATCTGTGAGGAAGTCTTTGATTGTGTCTTTCTGTCTGGCAGAATGAGGCTGAACTGGATAGACTTTAGGTTCTCTTCCAACTCAAGCTTTTTTGGAAGGACGAAGATCTCTCATTTCCCTTACTGGCCATGCCCGAATTTCGACTGCAGAGAAAGGGACGGGACTCGAGAAGTCTGCTCCTTGAGCCTTTGATCAGGTTGGCTGAGTCCTGGTCCTTGCTCCTCGTGGGCAAGGAAGGCATTCTGCCCACGTTAAGGGTGAGGTGGAGGGGCCACGTGGAGAGAGGCTGGAAAGCTCATTACGGGCCATGATACCGGCTAAGCCGAGTAGCTTTGCTTAAAGTCGCCGATCACATGATACCCTCCTCCTCCTCCTCCTCCTCCTTCCCCTGAGCCATATTGGTCCGTCCTTCAAGAAGCTTTGCTTGCCTAATGCAGAGGAATAATCCTGGCAATTAGGAGCTGCTCAGGTGAGAAGGAGGGAGGGACGAATTTGCTGAGCCAACCTTGGACCACATGCTAGATCTGGCAGCACTGCTTTTGCTTTGGGGAAATCGAGATAGCTGGGCCTCTTGGGCTGAAGACAAGAGTGGGTTGCGGTGGTCGTTTTGGTATTGCTGCGGTCCAGCACCAATAAGCCTTCACCAGCATCTATACTGCCCAGGGCTGTTGAGAGTTGCAGTGTCAAGGATTCTGGCAGACTATTTCAAGGAGAAGCCTTATTGTGTTCAAATAGTACTTTGTTTCTTAACGAACATCAGGATTGGCCAATGCATAACATTCTTTCATCAGAATTCAAGATGTCTCTGGAATCACCTTATATAAAGGCTGGTATCACCCTTATATAAAGGCCGGTTGCTCACGAGATTGTAAATCAGGGGTCCTCACACATTTTAAACAGATGGCCAGGTCACCGTCCCTCAAACTGTTGGAGGGCCAGAATATAATTTGAAAAAAAACATGAATGAATTCCTATGCACACTGCACATATCTTATTCGTAGTGCAAAGAAAAAACAACACTTCAAAACAATATAATAATTAAAATGAAGAACAATTTTAACAAATATAAACTTATTAGTATTTCAATGGGAAGTGTGGGCCTGGGTTGTTGGTTTTTCGGGCTATATGGCCATGTTGTAGAGGCATTTTCTTCTGACGTTTCGCCTGCATCTATGGCAAGCATCCTCAGAGGTAGTGAGGTCTGTTGGAACCAGGTAAATGGGTTTATACATCTGTGGAATGACCAGGGTGGGACAAAGAACTCTTGTCTGTTGGGGCTAGGAGTGAATGTTTCAACTGACCACCTTGATTAGCATCAAAATGAACAAAATCTGGCTACCAGTATTAAAAACCTCTAAAAACAGCAAAACAACAGAGAGGAAACAAGCAAGGACATATAATCGCCTCTCAGCAAAAGATTGCCCGAGGCACTAACAAGCCACACCAAACAACTACGAGGTCATCAAATGCTAATCAAGGTGGTCAGTTGAAACATTCACACCTAGTTCCAACAGACAACAGTTCTTTGTCCCACCCTGGTCCTTCCACAGATATATCAACCCTTTTTCCTAGTTCCAACAGACCTCACAACCTCTGAGGATGCTTGCCATTGATACAGGTGAACCGTCAGGAGAGAATGCCTCTACAACATGGCCATATGGCCCGAAAAAACCTACAACATCCCAGTGATTCCAGCCATGAAAGCCTTCGACAATACAGTGTGGGCCTGCTTCTGGCTGATGAGATAGGATTGTTGTTGTTGTGTGCTTTCAAGTCATCTCAGACTTAGGTTGACCCTGAGTGAGGGCCGGGTAAATGACCTTAGGGGGGACTCAGAGCGTTTTCCAAGTAACAACATCAATACATACAGAGTAAACAACATAGGCATAAAATTAACAAAACAATATAAGCATAACATTGTCACAATAGTACCTATATATTAAAAGTAATCCTGCCTTTCTAAGCTCTTACCCAGAGGTTTGGAGGCTGGTGGCAGTCTGCTTTTGCACTCCCCCATAATCCTTTCCAAACCCTTCAGCCAAAGCTGCCTCACTGGCCCTGCGCCACTCACCTTCCGCCGAGCCTGTTCCTTGTCCAAAGAGTCCTTCAGGTGGTGGGAATCTGCAAAAGAGGAGGGCTCTCGGATCTGGCCCAGGCGCAAACTGGTGTAGCGAGGGAAGAGTTCCTCAAGGCCCATCAAAGAGCCAGGCGGGGAGACTTCCTGCAGAGGCCGGGCACTGGGGGGGGGGGGGGGGGGGGGGACAAAAAGGACGTGAGGAGAGAAGTCTTTCACCCTATTGCGATTGTGAATAATTTTGTATTGTACTTTTAAATTGCTTAGTGTACTCATATGTTTTATGTATTTTACTGTGTTGTTTGTGTTTTGGTTTTTATCTTATTTTATGTAATATGCTGTTGGACTTGGCTTCATGTAAGCCAGCCCAATCCCTGTTCGGGAGATGGAGGCGGGGTATAAATAAAGATTATTATTATTATTATTATTATTATTATTATTATTATTATTTTCTACAGGATCAGGAGGATCTAGACCAATGTTTCTTAACCTTCCTAAGGTCGCAACCCATTAATACAGTTCCTCATGTTGTGATGACACCCAACCATAACATTATTTTCATTGCTACATCACAACTGTAATTTTGCTACTGTTATGAATCATAACGTAAATATCAGATATGCAGGATGTATTTTCATTAACTGGACCAAATTTGGTACATATACTCAATGCACACCACATTTGAATACCTGTGGTGTTGGGGGAGGATTGATTTTTGTCATTTGGGAGTTGTACTTGCTGTGATTTATAGTTCACCTACAATCAAAGAGCATTCTGAACTCCACCAACGATGGAATTGAACCAAATTTGGCACACAGAACTCCAAAGACCAAGAGAAAATACTGGAAGGGTTTGATGGACATTGAATTTTGGAGTTGTAGTTCACCTGCATCCAGGGAGCACTGTGGACTCAAACAATGATGGATCTGGACCAGACTTGGCATGAATACTCAATATGGCCAAATGTGAACACTGGTGGAGTTTGAGGAAAATAGATCTTGACATTTGGGAGTTGTAGTTGTTGGGATTTATAGTTCACCTACAATCAAAGAGCATTCTGAACCCAAGCAACAATAGAAATGGCCCACACAGAACTGCCATGACCAACAGAAAATACTGTGTTTTCTAGTGGTCTTTGGCAATCCCTCTGACACCACCCTTGTGACCCCTCCAGGGGTCCTAACCCCCAGGTTGAGAAAACATGAATCCCATTCTTTGCCATCTCTGAAAACAGTCTGCTAAGCAAGAGCCTTAAATTGTAGGGTCATAGATGACCCTCAAGGACCATCCAGTCCAAAACCCCTCCATGCAGGAAAAGATAATCAAAACTCTCCAGACAGGTAGCAATCCAGCCTCTGCTTAAAATCCCTCCAGAGATGGAGACTCTACCAAACTCCCAGGCAGTATTTTTTACCACTGAACAGGTCTGACAGTCAGGACATTCTTCCTATTTTTTTCTTGCAATTTGAATCGATTTCTCTGTTGTGTCCTAGTCTCCAGGGCAACAGCAAAATAAGCTAGCCACCTCCTACTTTTTTGAAATTGCCAACGTGTAGTACCATACATTTGTCCCTGTTGACATTCATGTTGTTTAGTTTTGGTCCAGAGGAACACAAAGGCAAACCTTTGCAGATATCTTGCCAAGAAAACACCAGGATACAGTTGGCTTAAATCAAAGTCAGTTTGAAAACACAAAACAACAAGAAGAGAAACAAACCACCCACAGGGAAGATAAAGCATGTTTAGTTGTTAGTTATGCATCTTGTGGCTTATTCCACAAATCATGGTTAACAGAAATCATGGCCTATGACATGGCTGTAAACATGACCATATTATGACTAGGTTTTTGGGGGGAAACCAGAAAAGAGATGCCAAAATCCACCTGGTTTTAAGAAGCCATTTTTGACCTGGTTCAGCTGCAATCATCACAGCTTTTGACTTGGTCACAGTGCTGGCTGATCTATGGTGTAGAACTGCTAATAACCTGAGATAATCTTACTTGAGCAGGGCAGCCGTGCTATCGCTCTCGAAAGAATCGTCATCTTTCCGCTCCAAGTTTCCCGGAGCCACAGCGTCTCCTGCAGGGAGAGAGGCAAAGGTCACCATCTGCAAGCTGGGAGGTGCATAGACTTGGTTCCCATCTCCAACACATCTCCTTATGTACATATTTGCAAATACAGGTATTCCAAAATTCTTATTTACATTGCATCCACATTCCACCCCAATCTTACCATGAGCAGCCTCTCTGGACCCACGAAGCATATTCTGCAGGTAGCAGCGTACGTTCTCCATTTCTGAGATAGGACGCAACTCTGTGGGGGCAGCACTCTGCAAGTAGGAAGGAGATGACAGCTTTCCTTGCTGAAAACATGAAAAAGTTGAATTCTAATGAACCCATCGTGTATAAACATATCCCCTAGAAAGTAAAAAAAATAAATACCCTATATATTGGAGTATAAGCCGACCTGAATATAAGCCCAGGCACCTAATTTTACCACAAAAAACTGGTTAAACATATTGACTCAAATATAGTCCGAAGGTGGGAAATGCAGCAGATACTGCTCAATTTCAAAATAAAAATAGATACCAATAATATTGCATTATTTGAGGTATCGGTAGGTTAAATGTTTTTCAATATTTACGTAAAACTGTAATCTATATAAATAAAAATGTAATGTTTGTTTGTGGGATTAACAGAACTCAAAAACCACTGGACAAATTGGCACCAAATTTGAACACAAGACACCTAACAACACAATGTATGTCCTTCACTCAAAAAAAATTGATTTTGTCATTTGGAACTTGTAGTTGCTGGGATTTATAGTTCAACTACAATCAAAGAGCATTCTGAACTCCATTAACGATGGAACTGAACCAAACTTGGCACACAGAACTCCCATGAACAACAGAAAATACTGGAAGGGTTTGGTGGGCATTGACCTTGAGTTTGGGAGCTGTAGTTCACCTACATCCAGAGAGCACTGTGGACTCAAACAATGATGGATCTGGACCAAACTTGGCACAAGCTCTCAATACGCCCAAATATGAACACAGATAGAGTTTGAGAGAAATAGACCTTGACATTTGGGAGTTGTAGTCACTGGGATTCACAGTTCACCTACAATCAAAGAGCATTCTGAACCCCATGAACTACAGAATTGGGGCAAACTTCCCACACAGAACCCCCATGACCATCAGAAAATACTTAAGGCCACCCAATCCAACTCCCTTCATCAGGGCAAGAAAACATAATCAAAGCCCTCCTGACAAAGAGCCATCCAGCCATAGATAGATAGATAGATAGAGAGAGAGAGAGAGAGATGATTCACACACACACATATAGTATCATAGATTTGCAAGGGACCCTTAAAGAAGGACAATGATATGTTGCATGTTCCAGGATGGGCAAACCAGACACTCTCCACATCACCACTGACAAAGAAACAGCAAGAAATATTGTTTACCCACAAGCATCAAGAAATTACATATATTAGAAACCAACACTTTCTCATTACTTTATTTCCCAGATCAACAGACTGGGCCACAGCAACACGTGGCAGGGGACAGCTAGTTTAAGATAAGACTGTCCAACTGTGATTAAACCATTATTCTAACCTTCTTCGATGTAAATGGGCTTACGTATCCTTCCAATAATAATAGTTAAAATAATAAATGTAATAACAATAACAATAGAGCAAAATAATAAATGTAATAAAAATAGAGTAAAATAATGTAAATGTAGTAATAGAGTAAAATAATAAAAAATAATAAAGAGAGTAAAATAATAAATGTAATAATAATAGAGTAAAATAATAAATGTAATAAAAATAAAAATAGAGTAAAATTATGTAAACGTAATAATAGAGTAAAATAATAAAAATAATAATAATAAAGAGAGTAAAATAATAAATGTAATAATAACAATAATAATAGAGTAAAATAATAAATGTAATAAAAATATTAATAACAGAGTAAAATGATAAATAACTTTGACTCGATTATAAGCTGAGGGGGGATTTTCAGCCTAAAAAGAGGGGTGAAAAATCCAGCTTATACTCAAGTATATACAGTAAATAGGAGCAATATAGCACAATTATTTAAAGACTTTCACCTCCCATGTACAACTGAAGTCTACCTTCCTGTAATTTGAAACTAGTAGACCTGAAGCAGCAAAAAAAAGGCCTGTCCCTCTTCTCTGTGGCACTCCTTGAGGTATGTAGTAAGGCAGTTGTATCACGCTTGTCTTCACTTCGCCAGGCGGAACATGCCCAATTTCAACCTTTTCTTTTCTGATGGCTTCCCCATACCTCCTATCATCCTGGTTAACCTTCTCTGCACTCATTCCAACTTATCTATGTTCTTCCTAAAACAAGGTACCCGGATGTGAACGAAGTCCTCCATGGAGGCCTGATATAGTAGGACTATAATTTCCCTTGTCTCTGGGACCATGGTTCTGTCAACGCAGGGTAAAATAATATTTGCCTTTTTTGCTGCAGTCCTGAACTGCTGGGTCAAGTTCAACATATGATCAACATTACAATAATCTATAAAAAAGACAGACTGGGTTCTCTTTTATGACTATGAAAAGAATAGAAAAGAGAAAGGAACAAAGAAGAGGTAAATAATAATGAAATAAAAGACAACAAGATCCTGAGATTGGAATGGAAGTCATTTTATTTTATTTGTATTTTTGTTTTTTTTTCTTGCTGTTTTATTTTTCTTCTCTTTTTTCTTTAATTGACTGTATTTCCTACTTTTCTATCTTCTTCTTGAATATTCCCCCTCTTTCTATGTATATAGAATGCAATATTCCTGCTTCTTGGCAGAATGGGGTTGGACTGGATGGCCCATGAGGTCTCTTCCAACTCTTTGATTCTATGATTCTATGATTCTATGTTTTAAACTGTTTAATAAAAATCTATTTCAAAAAAAAACCATTACAATAATCCCAAGGCACTTTCATAGGCACTATCATTTAGGCAAGCCTCTCTTATACCTGTGCACTTTGTTTCTGTACCCTAAATGTAGAATTTTGTTGTCTGCTGCCTGTGTTGATTTTCATTTCATTGATTTCCAACCGGTTTTCTACTTTATCAGGATCATTTTGAATTAATTATCTTCACTACCCTTCCCTCTGCAAAGTTTCTCCCATTGTCTAAGTCAGGGGTCCTCAAATTAAGGCCCGGGGGCCGGATGCGGTCCTCCAAGGTCATTTACCCGGCCCTCGCTCAGGGTCAATCTAAGTCTGAAACGACTTGAAAGCACACAACAACAACAATCCTATCTCATCAGCCAAAAGCAGACCCACACTTCCCATTGAAATACTAATAAGTTTATATTTGTTAAAATTGACCTTCATTTTAATTATTATATTGTTTTAAAGTTGTTTTTCTGCACTACAGATAAGATATGTGCAGTGTGCAGAGGAATTCATTCATTTTTTTTTTCAAATTATAATCCAGCCCTCCAACAGTTTGAGGGACTGTGACCTGGCCCTCTGTTTAAAAGGTTTGAGAACTCCTGGTCTAAGTCACTGATAAAAAATCTGAAGAGTGGCCAATGTCTTTCCGAGGGTAATGGAGGAGAGAAGTTCCCTTGAAACAGGTGGGGATGTTCCTCCCTGACCTTCTCTCGGCCTTATTTGCTTCCCTACATCCCTACATAATGCACCATCGATGCATTATGCATCCCTCAATTTTGAATGTGCACACTGCAAAACAAAATTGTTGAAAGAGTGTACTTTAAAATTATGAGCTTTTTTGTTGAGTTCCAGAGACAGAGAAGCAGATGGCAAAAACAAAGAACAGCCTGCCTCAGGGGGGCATGCTTGCTCCATCAATGTTTAACATTTACACAAATGATCAACCACTGCCAAAAGGGACAGTTTCATCTATGCTGGCGATCGTGCCATCACTGCTCAAGCAGGGAGCTTTGAAATGGTTGAACAGAAGCTCTCCAAAGTTTTAGCTGCTCTTACTGGCTATTACAGGGAAAACCAGTTGATTCCTAATCCATCTAAAATGCAAAGTGTGCTTTTTCACCTTAAGAACAAATAAGAATGACCTGGGAAGGAATCCCACTGGAGCACAGTAGCACACCAAAGTACCTGGGAGTTACCCGGGGCTGTGCTCTGACTTACAAGAAGCACTGCCTGAGTATCAAGCAAAAAGTGGGTGCTAGAAATATTATCATCCAAAAGCTGACTGGCACAACCTGGGGATCACAACCAGACTTGGTGAAGACATCTGCCCTTGCGCTTTGCTACTCTGCTGCTGGGTATGCATGCCCGGTGTGGAATACATCTCACCACATTATAACAGTGGATGTGGCTCTTAATGAGATATGCCACATTATCACAGACTCCCCCACATCACTGGAGAAATTATACTGTTTAGCCGGTATTGCACCGCCTGACATCCGTTGGGAAGTAGCAGCCAATAATGAAAGGACCAAGGCAGTGACATCTCTGGCCCATCCTCTGTTCAGATAACAGTCAGCATGCCAATGCCTTAAATCAAGAAATAGCTTTCTAAGATCTACAGAGATACTCTCAGGAACACTTCAGCAAGCAAGAGTCCAAAAGTGGCAGGCAAAAACCTGGAACCTTAAGTCATGGCTAATACCGGATGACAGACTCCCCCCCCTAGGAACACAGAAGACTGGGTGACTTAGAAGGCACTGAACAGACTGCGCTCTGGCACCACGAGACACAGAGCCAACCTTAAGAAATGGAGCTACAAAGTGCAGTTCACGACATGCGAGTGTGGAGAAGAGCAAACCACAGACCACTGACTACCACTGACCACAATGGAGGACCTTCTCACAATGACACCAGAGGCACTCCAAGTGGCCTCCTTCTGGTCAAAGCACATTTAGAATAATGCCAAGTGTTTAACTTAGTTTGTGTTTTTAAATGCATTATAACTGTACCCCCAACTTGCTTCTGGCACTATATATATATATATATATATATATGTGTGTGTGTGTGTGTGTGGGGGGGGGGGGGGGTGTATGTATGTATGTATGCATGCATGCATGCATGCATGCATGCCACTTTAAGTCCCAATTTGGGGGATGAAAACATGATATAAAATACTATTATTATGTTTTCATCCAAAGAGGCTCATTAGGCCTCATTCATGAAGCTTTCAAATCCAAAGGGGAGATTTGAAAGCTTTATGAATGAGGCCAGTTGGGAAGCCGTGCCCCTCCAACAGGCTGAAGCTTCACCTGATAGAGGGGTGCAAGGGAGGGTTTGCATGTATGATTCTAATGCACACCTCATTTCTGGGTATGTAATTTAGCCAAAACAGGTGAGCAATACATTCGAGTAAATATGGATAATGTCCTCACCTTCCTGTGTGAGCTCGCCTCTACACCAGTCGAGAGCCGATGGCTCAGCTCTTCAGCCAACGTATCCAGGTCTACCTCAGGGGCCTCTGCTTCCTTGGCCAAGGCCCTGCTAGGCTGGCTGTCCAAGTGGGAACGGGCTGGGGTCTCAGTCTGTCGTTCCTGGCGCAAGGATGTGAAGGGTCGCATCATCCCCTTGGAGCTGTAAAGGCTGGCCGAGTGAGAACTAGGGACCCGCTGTGCTGGAGTGGTGGGTTCTGAGGCTGGCAGGAGCTCCATGTCACTCAGGAGGTCTTCGCTGTGGATGGAGGAGGCCAATATCCCGCAGGTGCTTTTCTCCGCCATGTGTAGCTGCGAAGGGGCGGTGAGGGAGGGGGAAATGCCTTCTCCAGCCTTCCAGCCAGTGGGACTTTTGTACTCAGAAACCTGAATTTTTTGTTGTAAAGGAGAGTTCTGCGATGACTGGTTTCTGAGAGCGGGAAGATACATTTAGATGTGCTGATACATTCAAAGAGTTCGGAAGAAAAGATGCAATGAGCATAAGCAGGAATCATTGCTCATCTGACATCAACTAAAAGAGGGAAAGAACAAACATAACACACTGTCAAATGCTTTCATGGCCAGAATCACTGGGTTGCTGTGAGTTTTCCAGGTTGTATGGCCATGTTCCAGAAACATTCTCTCCTGACGTTTTGACTGCATCTATGGCATCCTCAGAGGTTGGGAGTTCTGTTGGAAACTAGGCAAGTGAGGTTTAGATCTGTGGAATATCCAGGGTGGAAGAAAGAACTCTTGTCTGCTTGAGGCAAGTGTGAATGTTGCAAATGGTGCCTTGATTAGCACTTAATGGCCTCGCAGCTTCAAAGCCTGTCTGGCTGCTGCCTTGGGGAATCCTTTGTAACATCAGGATATAATGCTTCTGGAACATGGCCATACAGCCTGGAAAACTCACAGCAACACAGTGATTCCGGCAATGAAAGCCTTCGACAACACATAAGGAGAAATGTAAAAAAACTCTTTGTCTATTGCATTCCATAGATATATAAACCCCTGGGTTGTTGTAGGTTTTTTCGGGCTATATGGGCATGTTCTAGAGGCATTCTCTCCTGACATTTCACCTGCATCTATGGCAAGCATCCTCAGAGTAGTGACCTCACTACCTCTGAGGATGCTTGCCATAGATGCATGCGAAACGTCAGGAGAGAATGCCTCTAGAACATGGCCATATAGCCCGAAAAAACCTACAACAACCCAGTGATTCCAGCCATGAAAGCCTTCGACAATATATATAAACCGCACTTGCCTACTTTCCAACAGACCTCACAACCTGAGGAAGAAACCTCATGGGCCATCCAGTCCTTCTTCTTTTCTTCTTAGCTGCTCTTTTAACCTCATTGACTTACATGTTTGGTGGAGGCTCCTCCTTTGGAGGCTTTGAAACAGAGGCTAGATGGCCATCTGTCAGGGGTGCTTTCATTGAATCATAGAGTTGGAAGAGACCTCATGGGCCATCCAGTCCAACCCCATTCTGCCAAGAAGCAGGAAAATTACATTCAAAGCACCCAAGACAGATGGCCATCCAGCCTCTGTTTAAAAGCCTCCAAAGAAGGAGCCTCCAACACACTCTGGGGCAGACAGTTCCACTGCTGAACGGCTCTCAGTCAGGAAGTCTTTCCTAATGTTAGATGGAATCTCCTTTCTTGTAGTTTGAAGCCACTGTTTCGTGTCCTAGTCTCCAGGGCAGCTTGCTCCCTCCTCCCTGTGACCTCCTCTCACATATTTATACATGGCTATCATATCTCCTCTCAGTCTTCTCTTCTGCAGGCTAAACATGCCCAGCTCTTTAAGTCACTCTTCATAGGGCTTGTTCTCCAGACCCTTGATCATTTGGACTGGATGGCCCATGAGGTATCTGCCAACTCTAGGATTCTATGTCTTTTGATGGTTTTAATAGAGGCACAGACAAACTTGGGCCATGCAGGTGTTTTGGACTTCAACTCCCACCATTCCTAACAACCTCAGGCCCCTTCCTTTTCCCCCTGGAAAAGGAATGGGCCTGAGGCCATTAGGAATGGTGGGAGTTGGAGTCCAAAACACCTGCATGGCCCAAGTTTGCCCAGACCTGCTTTGTAGTGCTGAATTGTAACAGAAGAGTGAAGTCCCCAGTTTTGGCTGTACCAAGAAGCGGGTAGTGTCTAGATCAGGTCTGCAGAACCCATGGGGGAAAAGGAAGGGGACTGAGGCTGTTAGGAATGGTGGGAGTTGGAGTCCAAAACACCTGAAGGGCCTAAGTTTGCCCAGGCCTGCCATAGAGCATGACAGCTTTAGTGCTTTAATTCTACAGTCAAACTGCTTTGATTCTAGAACTACCCTCTTTAAGACCCCCATCTACACTGCTATATAATCAGGGGCGGCTCGTCCATTACGCGAAGTAAGCGGTCGCAGAACACTTTTTTTTGCCAGGGGCACAGACTGCCCTTGACTGCCACTTGAGGAGCGCCCCCTCAGCTCACAACAGCCCTAGCAGTCTGGGGGGAGCCTCGGCTTTCTTGCCTCGCTGCCGGGCGATCCTCTTCCCAAAGGGGCCGGGCCCTTGAGCCTCGCCTAGCCCCTCTCGTTCCTGCTCCACCCGGCCACCGGGTGCGCGAGCAGAGCCGGCGCTCAATCGTTCTCCGCGTTCGATCCCTTCCCCATGACCGGCTCCCTTTCCCGATCCCCCGGCGCTCCACCCGCCTCCTCTCCTCTCCCCAATCCGCGGTGGGCCAAGGGGCGGAGCCGCCGCGCCTGGCCCGCTTTGGGTCCGGAGGCGTGTCTGAAGACCCCAGCGTGCGCACCAAAAGTCGCCTCTTCTCCTGACTTTCTCTTCAGCCATTGGGACCAAGAGAGAGAGAGAGAGAGAGAGAGCCCCTCCGGCTGGAGGTATCTCCCACCTCCACTCCCTCCTTTGTTTTTGCGCCTACCTTCAGGAAAGGTGGGCATCTCCACCTCTCTCTCTCTCTCTCTCTTGGTCCCAATGGCTGAGGAGAAAGTCAGGAGAAGAGGTGACTTTTGGTGCACACACCGGGGTCTTCAGGCACGCCTCCGGACCCAAAGCGGGCCAGGCAAGGGAGCAAATGCAGCAAGTGTAGTTTATTTTATTTATTTATTTATTTACCTTACTTATATACCGCTGTTCTCAGCCTGAAGGTGACTCACAGCGGTTCACAACAAATACGAACAGCAAAAATTCAGTGCTACAGTATAGAAACAGTTAACAACCTAACACATTACACAATTAATAAACAGTTACTACAATACCCATTCACTGTCGTCTCATCATCAAAAACATGTTCCAGATTCGTTATCCATTGTTCCATTATTTGAACACCTGCTCAAACAGCCAGGTCTTCACTTTTTTGCGGAATACCATTAGAGATGATGCTAGTCTAATGTCCATAGGAAGGGCGTTCCACAGACGAGGAGCCACCACCAAGAAGGCCCTATCTCTCGTCCCCACCAGCCGAGCTTGAGAAGCAGGCGGGAACGAGAGCAGGGTCTCCCCGGAAGATCTCAAAGTCCTGGTGGGTGCATAGGCAGAGATGCGGTCGGATAGGTAGCTTGGGCCGGAACCGTTTAGGGCTTTAAAGGCCAACGCCAGCACTTTGAATTCAGCCCGGTAGCAGATCGGTAGCCAGTGGAGTTGGCGCAACAGGGGGGTTGTATGCTCCCTGCGCTCCGCTCCTGTTAAAATCATGGCTGCCGAGTGTTGGACTAGTTGGAGCTTCCGAGCTGTCTTCAAAGGCAACCCCACGTAGAGAGCGTTGCAGTAGTCTAAACGGGATGTAACCAGAGCATGGACTACCGTGGCCAGGTTACTGGGATGTACAGTTCACCTACAATCAAAGAGCATTCTGAACTCCACCAATGATGGAATTGGGCCAAACTTCCCACATAGAACCCCCATGAACAACAGAAAATAGTGTGTTTTCTGATTATCTTTGGTGACCCCTCTGGCATGGAGAACAAGCCCTATGAGGAGCGGCTAAAGGAGCTGGGCATGTTTAGCCTGAAGAAGAGAAGGCTGAGAGGAGATATGATAGCCATGTATAAATATGTGAGAGGAAGCCACAGGGAGGAGGGAGCAAGCTTGTTTTCTGCTTCCCTGGAGACTAGGATGCAGAACAATGGCTTCAAACTACAAGAAAGGAGATTCCATCTGAACATGAGGAAGAACTTCCTGACTGTGAGAGCCGTTCAGCAGTGGAACTCTCTGCCCCGGAGTGGGTGGTGGAGGCTCCTTCTTTGGAAGCTTTTAAACAGAGGCTGGATGGCCATCTGTCAGGGGTGATTTGAATGCAATATTCCTGCTTCTTGGCAGGGGGTTGGACTGGATGGCTCATGAGGTCTCTTCCAACTCTTTGATTCTATGATTCTAACATGCCCAGCTCCTTAAGCCGCTCCTCATAGGGCTTGTTCTCCAGACCCTTGATCATTTTAGTCGCCCTCCTCTGGACACATTCCAGCTTGTCAATATCTCTCTTGATACCTTCTTTAAGACTCCCACCTACACTGCTATATAATGTGGTTTGAAACTGCATTATATGGCATGTCAGTGTGGATGGGGGCCTAAGTCCCAAAGTTGCTGCAAGAAGCCTTACTTACCTGCAGGCCACCTAGTTTGAAGCCCCGCCCCTTTCCTCCTTTGGCTCCACCCCCTTCGCTTTCAGGCTCCGCCCACACATCTCCCCTCAGAAACAACTCCTCATTGTGGCAGCCAGTGGTCCCCCAAAAAAGTAACTTTTCCTGGCTTTCGGCATGACCTGAAACCCCTGGCTTACCAGTGGGCACATCCTTCAACGGCCTTCCTTTCCCTCTTCTCCGCTTTTGAAAAAATCGCGCGCCTGCCTTTTCCCCTCCCCGCCCACCACTAGGCCGCAACTCCACTACTACCACAACTCCTGGCAACTTCCCTGGGCAGAAAGCGAAGCCGAAGACGGCGCCGCCATTTTGTTTGAGGGCGGGCGCGAAAGTGACAGAAGGGGCGTGGCTTGAGTGGCCGCGCGGACGGATGACCGAAAGGGGCGGGACCGCGACGAGGGGCGGGCCAATCAGCGAAGCGAATGAGACTTGTCGCTCATTTCCATGCACCGCCCTTCCGGAAGTAAACGATATTGGAGAGGGGGAAGCAGTGAAAGAGGGGAGTGGTTGCTATAGCGACGACAGGGGGAAGAAGAAGAAGGTGAGGGGCGTTTTGGTGGGATGGTGTGCTTTGTATTCTGGCCTAATTCTTTCCGTATTGCAGGATATAATTGAGTAATATTTGAATAGTATTGATTTACTACTAGCCGTCCTCTGCCACGCGTTGCTGTGGCCCAGTCTGTGTGTATGTGTGTGTATATATATTTCTGTATATGTGTGTGTGTATGTATATATATATATATGCTTGCGTATATATATGTGGTTTTGCACATGCATTGTAATGTGTGTGTATATGTGTGTGTGTATATATGTGTGTATATATTTGTGTATTTCTGTGTTTTTATGTGTATTTATATATTGTGTATGTGTATATATGTGTGTATGCATGTGTATATATGTGTGTGTATATGTGTGTATATATTTGTGTATTTCTGTGTTTATATGTGTATATGTATTTTGTGTATATGTGTGTGTATATATATCTGTGTATACGTGTGTATATATTTGTGTATTTCTCTGTTAATATGTGTATATATATTGAGTGTGTGTGTGTATATGTGTGTATATATGTGTGTATATATTTGTGTATATATTTGTGTATTTCTGTGTTTATATGTGTATATGTATTTTGTGTATGTGCGTGTATATATATTGTGTATATGTGTGTATATATTTGTGTATTTCTGTGTTTATATGTGTATATATATTGTGTATATGTGTGTGTATATTTGTGTATTTCTGTGTTTTTATGTGTATTTATATCTTGTATATATGTGTATATACATGTGTATATATTTCTGTGTTTATATGTGTATATGTATATTGTGTATATGTGTATACACAATATACATATACACATATAAACACAGAAATACACAAATATATACACATGTATACAGACATCTATACACATACACATATACACAATATATAATATATATGTGTGTATACGTGCGTATATATTTGTGTATTTCTGTGTTTATATGTGTATATATATATTGGGTATATGTCTGTGTGTATATGTGTGTATACATGTGTATATATTTGTGTATTTCTGTTTTTATATGTACATATGTATATTGTGTATATGTGTATGCTTGGGTATATAAATATATGTGTGTATTTATTTATTTAAAACTTTTATATCCCGATCTTCTCACCTCCGTAGAGAAGATATATGTGTGTATGTATGTGTATATTCATGTATGTGTGTGTATATTTGTATGTTCTTGCCTATATGTGTGTGTGTGTGTGTATGTATGTGTGCATGTATATATGTATATTTCTGTGTTTATGTGTATATGTATATTGTGTATGTGTGTGTGCTTGTGTATATGCATATATGTTTGTTTATATGTGTGTATGTATGTGTATATTTATATAGGTATATATGTATGCACATGTATATGTGTGTGTATGTATGTGTCCATGTGTATATACATATTTCTGTGTTTATATGTATATTGTGTATATGTGTGTGCTTGTGTATATGCATATATGTGTGTTTATACGGGATGTATATGTATATAGGTGTATATGTATGTGCATGTATATGTGTGTGCTTGCGTATATATGTGTGTGTGTGTATGTATGTGGGCTTGTGTACATGTGTATGAATGTATATGTATATATGGTTTGGGTTGTTGTAGGTTTTTCCAGGCTATATGGCCATGTTCTAGAGCCATATTTTCTCCTGAAGTTTCGCTTACATCTATGGCAAGCATCCTCAGACGTAGTGACGTCTGTTTGGAAGTAGGAAAAAGGGTTTATATATCTGTGGAATGACCAGGGTGGGACCAAGGACTTTTGTCTGCTGAAGCTGGGTGTGAATGTTTCATCCTGGAAAAACCTACAACAACCCAGTGATTCCGGCCATGAAAGCCTTCGACAATATATATGGTTTATTTTGGGGAGTTTTAAAAGCCATTGTGCTGTTTGTTTGTGTGTGTGTGTGTGTGTTTTTAGGGGTGATGGACACTCATTGGCCTGATAGGTGTATTGTGTCCAGTTTTGGTGTCAATTCGCTCAGTGGATTTTGAGTTATGTTAATCCCACAAACAAACATTGCATTTTTATTTATATAGATATTTTATTCAAAGCATTCAGTAGGCCTTTGAATAAATACTCCTGCTATTTATTAAATTACATTTTAATAAATAGATTTATTTGATTTTAGATGTGCTGTTCTTTTAAATTATGAGCCACTTTAAGCCCCTTCCACACATCTGAATAAAATCCCTGCTTTGAACTGGAATATATGATAGTGTGGACTTAGAGATCCCAATTCAAAGCAGATATTGTGGGATTTTCAGCTATGATATTCTGGGTTATATGGCTGTGTGGAAGGGCCCATAGTCCCAATTTTGGGGATGAAATCAGGATATGAAATGCTATTAACATTATTGTGGTTTTATTCAAAGAAGAAGCCAACTAAGCCTCGTTCTAAGTTAGCATTTAATTTTTGTATGTTTTTAATGTACTGATCTTTTAAATTGTAGGCTATTTTAAAACACAGTCTTTAGCAGGATATAATTAATAGTAATGTTTATTTATTTAGTTATTTCTGGTGTTTCTACCCGGACTCTTCTCTACCCCCGAAGGGGGACTCAGGACGGCAACGATTCGATGCCGCTTCATATAAACAATTACAATAATACAACACAACTAAAATGCATAAAGCATTAATTAAAACAGCACATAAACATTAATTAAAACAATAATCCAATATCATCAGCTGTATCATCATTCCAGTCAATTTCCAACCAAAGTATTAATTAAGTTTACTCTCCGAAAGCCTGGTCCCACAACCACGATTTAACTTTCTTCCTGAAAGCCAGGAGACATGAGGCCGATCTTATCTCCTTTGGAAGTGCGTTCCACAGGTGGGGGGCCACAGCCGAGAAGGCCCTGTCTCTCGTCCCAGCCAAATGCGTTTGCGATGTAGACGGGAGAAGAACCTCCCTGGATGGTCTTAAATTATGAGGTGGGATGTAGAGGCAGATGCATTCGGACAAGTAAGCTGGGCCAGAACCGTATAGAGCAGGGGTCCTCAAACTTTTTAAACAGAGGGCCAGGTCACAGTCCCTCAAACTGTTGGAGGGCCGGATTATAATTTGAAAGGAAAAAAAAAAACATGAATGAATTCCTATTCACACTGCACATATTTTATTTGTAGTGCAAAAAACACTTTAAAACAATACAATAATTAAAATGAAGACCATTTTTAACAAATATAAACGTATCAGTGTTTCAATGGGAAGTGTGGATCTGCTTTTGACTGATGAAGTAGGGTTGTTGTTGTTGTTGTGTGCTTTCAAGCCATTCCAGACTTAGGTTGACCCTGAGCGAGGGCCGGGTAAATGACCTTGGAGGGCCGTATCCGGCCCCCGGGCCTCAGTTTGAGGACCCCTGGTATAGCGTTTTATAGCTCAAAACCAGCACTTTGAATTGACTCGGAAGTGGACCAGCAGCCAGTGGAGCTGACATAGCAAGGGGGTAGTATGTTCCCTGTATGTCGCTTCAGTTAGTAATCTAGCTGCCGCCCTCGACTAGCTGAAGTAATCTGGCTGCCTTTGAAGACTAGCTTCCGCGTCTTCAAAGGCAGCCCCACGTAGAGCGCATTGCAGTAATTAATATTATTGTTGTTTTATTCAAAGAGGAGTCCCACTATACCTTATTCTAATTTAATATGTGATTCTTGTTAGTTTTTAATTTTATTGTTCTGTTTAAATGTGAATCTTGCTGGGAAAGGAGGATATATAAATCAAACTTGGGCAACTTTCAGCCCTCCAGGTGTTTTGGACTTCTATTCCCACCATTCCTAATAGCTGATAGGAAATAGGAATTGTGGGAGTTGAAGTCCAAAACACCTGGAGGGCCAAAGTTTGCCCACGCCTGGAACAGAGCAAAATGTTTAATTGGGAGGCTATTTAAGGAAGGCATCCTCCCATTTTGTGGTAACTGGTGAGGAAGCTGAAAGGGTGCGTGCAGTATGGGGAAGGGGCGTCTGGTGCAAAGTATAACGGAAAATGATCACATTGGGGGGATTGCTATTTCAACTGGAATATTGGGGTCTAGAATGGCTATGAAAGGCAGGAGATTTGTGGAGTTCCTTTATTGGGTCCAGGGAATAATGGGAAGCAGCATTTTCCATGGATTTGGCAGGGGAGATTGGTGTAGATGTAATAATAATAATGGTAGAATAAGAACAGCAATATTTCTTTTTCCAATGGTGCCTCGCTACACTATAAAATAATGCAGTTTGACTTTCCCACCACGGCTTCATGTTTGTTTGTTTATTTACAACATTTCTATCCCGCCCTTCTCAACCTCCGAGGGGGGACTCAGACCAGCTAACACTGGCAACAATTCGATGCCACAATATAATACTACAACAGTATAAAACCATAAATACACAAAAGATTTTTTAAAATAACATTAATTATACAGTCACATAGCTGTTTCCATTATCATAACAATCTTATGATCCAGTTCAATGTCCAAAGTGTCGTAGTGCCTGCTAGCCAAAAGCCTGGTTCCAAAACCACGATTTCAGTCTAAAGGAAAGGAGGGAGAACGCTGATCTAATCTCGCTGGGGAGCGAATTCCACAAGCAGGGGGTCACCACCAAGAAGGCCCTGTCCCTCGTCCCCACCAGACGCGTTTGTGAAGCCGGTGGGACCGAGAGCACGGCCTCCCCAGTGGATCTTAAACTATGAGGCGGATCGTAGAGGGAGATACGTTCGGACAATGTTGTTGTTGTTGTTGTTGGGTGAGGCACCATCACTCTATGAAGAGACCTTTTCAAACTACAGCTCCCATAATTCTATATCACTGCTATAGAATGATCTTTGGTTGTGTGTGTACATACATACATATCATGTCTGCATGCTTCATTCTTATTTTCAAAATTATACCTTCCAGATGACGGTGCACAACTTATACATCTTTGACCGCAATGGTGCGTGCTTACACTACAGTGAATGGAACAGAAAGAAGCAAGCCGGGATTTCCAAAGAAGAGGTAAGACTCTGGTTAGTCAAGTATAAAGGGAGCTAGTGTCAGAATTCTTGGCTGAAAGCAATATAAGACGGTTCATCCATGAGGGGATTGTGCTTCATACATGATTGAAATATTTCACTAATATTATTTTGTGGATGTATTTTTTATGTTACCGCTTTGTATGTTCTAGGGCAGGGATTCACAAACTTTTAAAACAGAGGGCCAGGTCACAATCCCTCAAATTGTTAGAGGGCCAGATTATAATTTGAAAAAAGCATGAATGAATTCCTATGCACACTGCACATATCTTATTTGTAATGCAAAAAAACACTTAAAAACTATACATTAATTAAAATGAAGTACAAGTTTAACAAATATAAACTTATTAGTATTTCAATGGGAAGTGTGGGCCTGCTTTTGGCTGATGAGATAGGATTGTTGTTGTTGTGTGCTTTCAAGTTGTTTCAGACTTAGGTTGACCCTGAGCGAGGGCCGGGTAAATGACCTTGGAGGGCCGTATCTGGCCCCCGGGCCATAGTTTGAGGACCCCTCTTCTAGAGCATTGAGTTGCTATGAAAATGAGTTTGGGGTATACGTTACAGTAAGCCTTTCCCAATTGAATGCCTTCTAGAGCTGTTAAACTGCAATTTCCATCCATGACCAATATGACTAGTGGCAATAGGGAGCTATAGTCCAGCAGTAACACATTAGTAGGGCTGCATCATACTGTGTGATGTCCTCTCCCTGAAGTTTAATTTTCCAGCTGTTTAATAATAGTTTTCTTATTGGTTCAACTTGGGAGCATATTGCAAGCCACTTAGTTTCATCTCTCTTCGTCTTGCCTGATACGAAGATTTAAAAATTGGTTCCATTCCAAGTGAGCATGACTAAGCTATAAATTGAAAAATGTTAAGCTGATTAAGTATTATGTCTTAGCTGAGGAAAATATAGATATTTGTGTGTGTACTTCAAAGCACTGAAGAGTACTTCAGCAGCTGCTCTTTTGCCTTGCAAACTTGACTGCTTTTCCTGAACCTTTGATTTTTAAAGACCCAAGAAAAGTCGTCAAGGCTGCAAAGGCAAAAAGAGCAGCTGCTGAAGTGATCTGAATTTGCCAGTTTCGCTCCCCAGTTCTTCCTCCAGCCAGGAATAAAAGAAGGTTTTTGTCTTGTGCTGAAATACCAAAGAGAAAGAGAGCATGGCAAACACAGCAAGTGTATTCTAATCAAGAAAGAAGTTAAAACTTTGCAAAAAAAAAAAGAGTTTTTAGTGTGAGAACCGTTGGGCGAGTGGGCTAACAAAAGACCCTCCTCATAAGCGTGTAGCAGACTAACTTACTAGCAGCAGCGTGACCCAGCACCAGTAGCCAAAAGTGATAAAAAGAACAAAAACACAGAAACCAAAGTTATCTCTTCCATCATATGGTTGCACTACTTACAACAGTGTTTCTCAGCCTGGGGGTCGGGACCCCTGGAGGGGTCGTGAGGGGATGTCAGAGGGGTCACCAAAGACCACCAGAAAACTCAGTATTTTCTGTTGGTCATGGAGGGTCTGTGTGGGAAGTTTGGCCCAATTCAGTCGTTGGTAGGGTTCAGAATGCTCTTTGATTGTAGGTGAACTATATAAACCCCAGCAACTACAACTCCCAAATGTCAAGCTCTATTTTCCCCAAACTCCACCAGTGTTTACATTTTGGCATATTGGGAATTCATACCAAGTTTGGTCCAGATCCATCATTGTTTGAGTCCACAGTGCTCTTTGAATGTAGGTGAACTACAACTCCCAAAACTCAAGGTCAGTGCCCACCAAACCCTTCCAGTATTTTCTATAGGTCATGGGAGTTCTGTGTGCCAAGTTTGATTCAATTCCATCATTGGTGGAGTTCAGAATGCTCTTTGATTGTAGATGAACTATAAATCCCAGCAATTACAACTCCCACAGGACAAAATCAATATCCTCCCCCAATCCCACCAGTATTCAAATTTGGGTATATCGGTTTTTTGTGCCAAATTTGGTCCAGTGTATGAAAATACATCCTGTATATCAGATATTTACATTACTATTCATAACAGCAGCAAAATGACAGTTATGAAGTAGCAATGAAACTAATTTTATGGTTGGGGTCACCATAACATGAGGAAGTGTATTAAGGGGTCACAGCATTAGGAAGGTTGAGAACCACTGATTTACTAGAACAAGGTTTCCATTACACAAATAAAGTTCTTTACACTTCCTTTTTTCTTCCACGCTGGGCTTCTTTCTCATGCAGATAAACAGCTTCGCTCTCACAGAGCCTCACACCGAAATTACACAGGAGCTTCACACAATAGCTTTACACACAGCAGCCTTCACACTGGAGCTTCAGACATGAGCTTTATGCACAAGGTCTTCAACCTGGGGCTTCCTCTCATGGAAGCTTCTCACACCAGGCCTTCCTCATACTGAGGCCTACGAACACAGTGACCTTCTCATACTGAGACCTATTAACACACTGAGACCTCCCTCACACAGAGGCTTTCTCACACTGAGGCGAACTAACACTGAAGCCTACTAAGCTACAGGCATACCTGCTTATATTGAACTCCAGCTTTTGCTGAGTCATCGCATCCATTTAATCCTTTGAGTGCTTGACTCACATTTTTGTAATTAAAATACCTAGTTAATTTTTAATATTTCTGACAAGAACTACAACTACGGAGCTGGGGGTTGTGACGGCCAACAGGGAGCTCTGGCATGGGTTGGTCCATGGGGTCACAAAGAGTCGGAAGCGACTGAACAAATAAACAACAGCACTATGGATATAATCTCCGTATAAGCCAGGTGAATTCTGGTTAAAACAGTGTTGCAGTGCCATGTTCATACAGAGAAAAATGGCCAAGGATACAGGAGCAAGTAAACACATTCTGGCTCTTTCTCTTTTTGCCTAAGGGGGATCATCTTCCTTTTAAAAGGCAAAGAAATTGCACTTTTTATGTCATAGAATAGTGGTGCATGATCAAGGCAGGGATGGAGTAACTTTGATGAAAATCCATAATTCTCTTTTAAGAATTCTTATGCACCAGGCAAGGCTTTATGCAGGACTTTAAAGCAGATGATTGTAAACTGCTTTGTATCCCACATTGGGAGAAAAGTGCAATATAAATAAAATAACTACATTTTGGCTCCATCTCTTTGTGCCTAAGAGGAGCTTCTTCCCTTTGGAAAGCAACAAGTGCATGTTTTATACCATAGAATGAAAATGTGTGATCAAGTAAAGGATGGAGTTACTTGGATAAAAATTCATAACCCTTTTCCAAGAATTCTTACTCACCAGGCTGGGCACTCACTGTGCAGGATTTTTAAGTGAATGGGCATTATTATTTAAAGCTTAAAACCCTAGAATTTTTGGGCTTGCACAAATCTTGGCCCGGCCTTTTACATTTTTAAATTGCCTTGAACAGGCAGGATTACTTTTTAATATATGTGTGTTATGGCGACAATTTTTATGCTTATATTTTGTTTTGTTAATCTTGAGGTTGTGTTGTTTTTTACTTTGTATGTTTTGTAATGTTACCTGGGAACCACTCTGAGTCCCCTTGGGGAGATGGAGCAGTGTATAAATAAAGTTTTATTATTATAATTGCACCTCCTGACTTGATTTTAAAAAAGCCTGCCTGAATAAAAAGGCTTTAGCCAGCTACCAGAAGGACAGTAAGGAGGAGGCCATTCTGGCTTTCCTGGGATTGGGAAGAAGAAGAAGGGAATCCCAGAATCGAGGGCCGGCCACTGGGAGAAGGTCCTGGTCTCTCGCATTTCCCCCAAGAACCTCTCTTGCGATAGAGGTGGGACTGAGAGAAAGGCCACTCCTGAAGACCCCAGGGCCTGGGTAGCTTCTACAAGGGGGATTCGATCAGGGCCTGAGCCATGTAGGGTAATAACCAGCATTTTGAATTGCAGACGACACCAAATTGGGAGGGATAGCCAATACTCCAGAGGACAGGAGCAGGATTCAAAACGATCTTGACAGATTAGAGAGATGATTGGCCGAAACTAACAAAATGAAGTTCAACAGGGACAAATGCAAGATACTCCACTTAGGCAGGAAAAACGAAATGCAAAGATACAGAATGGGGGACAATGCCTGGCTTGAGAGCAGTACGTGTGAAAAAGATCTTGGAGTCCTCATGAACAACAAGTTAAACATGAGCCAACAATGTCATGTAGTGGCAAAAAAAGCCAATGGGATTTTGGCCTGCATCAATAGGAGCATAGTGTCTAGATCTAGGGAAGTAATGTTGTTGTTGTTGTTCATTCGTTCAGTAGTCTCCGACTCTTCGTGACCTCATGGCCGAGCCCACGCCAGAGCTCCCTGTCGGACGTCACTACCCCTCTATTCCGCTTTGGTTAGACCACACCTGGAATATTGTGTCCAATTCTGGGCACCACAATTCAAGAGAGATATTGATAAGCTGGAATGTGTCAGAGGAGGGCGACTAAAATGATCAAGGGTCTGGAGAACAAGCCCTATGAGGAGCGGCTTAAGGAGCTGGGCATGTTTAGCCTGAAGAAGAGAAGGCTGAGAGGAGATATGATAGCCATGTATAAATATTATTATTATTATTATTAACTTTATTTGTACCCCGCTAGCATCTCCCGAAGGACTCGATGCGGCTCACATAGGCCGAAGCCTCAAAACACAATACAACACATCATAACACAACAATGAAACAGAAGCAAATCAAATAGTTAAGCAATAACAACAACAGTAACAATACGTCGGACACTTTAAAACTGGGCCGGCCAGAGCAATGGGTACAAGGTTAAAAGTGCTGAGATGGCAGGAGGAACGTAGGATTAAATAAGTGCGGTGTGCAGCGATCTTGTTCTACTAAAGTGCATCTAGGGCTTGGTGAGGGGAATTCCTAGTCTGAGAAGGCACAACGGAACAGCCAGAGAGGAATATGTGAGAGGAAGCCACAGGGAGGAGGGAGCAAGCTTGTTTTCTGCTTCCTGGAGACTAGGACGCAGAACAATGGCTTCAAACTACAAGAGAGGAGATTCCATCTGAACATGAGGAAGAACTTCCTGACTGTGAGAGCCGTTCAGCAGTGGAACTCTCTGCCCCGGAGTGTGGTGGAGGCTCCTTCTTTGGAAGCTTTTAAACAGAGCTGGATGGCCATCTGTCAGGGGTGATTTGAATGCAATATTCCTGCTTCTTGGCAGAATGGGGTTGGACTGGATGGCCCATGAGGTCTCTTCCAACTCTTTGATTCTATGATTCTACCCAGAACCAAACTTGTTGCCAGTGGAGCTTCTACGACAGGTGGTTGGCAGCTCCCTGTAGCTAGCCCCAGTTAGCAACCTGACTGCTTCTTTGGATCTCATGTTGGATGTAAAGTGTGATATAAATCAGATAATTTATATGGAGATAGTTACCGCAACATTCTCCCATGTTGTTGGCCCCAACTGCTGATGTACTGTCATCATGTCTGCAAAATTTAAAAAACTCTGATTGTGATTGCTTCAAAGGAGTGGATGGCCCATGAGGTCTCTTCCAACTCTATGATTCTATGTTCTTGCTGGGGGAATAAATTTCCTTTTAAGCAAGGGGTCTTGTCTGTGGCAGAATGAAAAACCACACGTAGTTCACGTTTTACCAGTCCACACACTATCTTGTCAGAGAAAGAAAATATGCCATGCAGATAAACAGTAAAAAAAATAAGGAGTTTACTCTTTGTAATGCAGAGCAGTCGTGAGAACAGTTGCATCGACTCACACAATGTCCTTTGAGAGAGATTCAAATGGTCCTTGAGTGTCCCTGTGAGAGATCTTCAGCCAGATTAATAACTGGGGCAATTTACAGGGAGCAGTCAACCTCCCTGTTTAAGGAGCTTCATTGACTGCCGTTCATTTTCCAGTCCCAATTCAAGGTACAGGTTCTTACCTATAAAGTCCTAAAAGGTTTGGGACCCGCCTACCTTCGTGACCGTTATCTCTCTCCATAAACCAGCCCAAGACAAACTGGCAAAATGGCACTACCTAAAAAAGTCCTCCACCTAGTGCAACTGTGGAAAAGAACAGATTACTCCGCTTCTGTATGCTTGTCCACAATGTCCTGCCTCATGTACAAAGGAAGAATTGTTTAAAGCTACAGACAATACGGTCGCTGTTGCCCGTTTTTGATTAAAAAAAAATATGTAGCCACTTGTGCTCCTTCTATTTTTAGCAGTTTTATACTTATTTGTGCAATGCTTTTGATAAGAAATAAACAAAATAAATAAATTACCCTCTTTTGCAATAAAAGGAGATACAGAAGGTAACAAGGAGAAATGTGAAAAAGTTTTGAACTTTCTGCTGGGGCGATTCTGAAAGGCAAGCTAGAAACCAAGCCATTGTATTGCATAACCTGATGGAGCATTGCCACAGCGTGAAGCCAGCGCACAGCAGGGTGGCCCAGTGCCGTCCTTGCTATGGATGTTCATCTCTTCTCCCCACCGCATTTGTTCTCTCCCTGCAGGAGTACAAGCTGATGTACGGCATGCTCTTCTCCATCCGCTCCTTCGTTAGCAAGATGAGCCCTGTGGACATGTATCCTTTCTGCCAAACGCTGCCAATCCCTGGATGAAAGGGAAGTGGGGTGGCAGGGAAGGTCAGCAGCACATCCTTTTGTATTTGAGCTCTTAAAAATACAGCATTTTCCAGGCTGACCTATTTGGAAAGCAGAAAAGAGTAGCTCATGGTGAACGGTCTGTCTTCCCTTCTTCTTTATCTTCCTTTTCTCCTTAATCTCTGCCCTTCAGGAAGGATGGTTTCCTCTCCTTTCAGACCAGCAAGTACAAGTTGCACTATTATGAGACCCCCACAGGGCTAAAGGTGGTGATGAACACAGACTTGGGAGTGGGCAACATTCGAGATGTGCTGCACCAGATCTACAGCTATGTGAGTAGTGTGTTCCTTCCTCCTATTCATGTTTGCCTATCCTAAAGTAACCCTTTACATTGATTTCAGGGCAAACAAAAGAGGTTAGGAATGCAACATATAGGGAGCAGAAGAGAGGGGATCCTGTTAATGGCCATAGGGATTTTGAGTTAGAATAAAGCTGGGTTGCCATGGACAAGGGCAGGCAGAATTCAACACCCTCAAGCATGGTTCTGGAAGTTACTATGTGGCATATTTGGATTTCTTGCTTGTCTATTAATACACAAGAATTAATTAGGGTGGAGTGCCAGAGTGGGATTCATAATATCCTTTTAAAAAAAGTAAGCAAGAGCCTTGAGCACTGGTTTGACTATGTTCCTGGAGACCAAGATTGGGCTCCTGTTTGACCATGGAAACCTATTGGGTGGCCAAGGGCAAGTGACACTCTCTCAGCCTCAGAGACAAAGGCAAATCCTCCCTGACCTAATTCTCTGTAATAGAGTTGCCTATCAAATGTTAGGAATTGTGGGAATTGAAGCCCAAAACACCTTGGAGGGCTGAAATTTGCCCATGCCTGAGCAAGACATTCAGTTCCAACCATCAGTTGGGGACCTCTCTCCCCAGCACCAACTTCTGTTCTGGGCCAGAGGGAAGAGAGAGGGGGCCAGGGGACAGTCCCAGCTTGTCTCCTGCATATGTCATCAGTTGGGGACCCTTCCCCCCAGCACCAACTTCTGTACTGGGCCAGAGGGAAGAGAGGGGGGGGGGCAGGGGACAGTCCCATCTTGTCTCCTGCATATGTCATCAGTTGGGGACCCCTCCCCCCAGCACCAACTTCTGTTCTGGGCCAGAGGGAAGAGAAAGGGGGCCAGGGGACAGTCCCATCTTGTCTCCTGCATATGTCATCAGTTGGACCCCTCCCACTAGCACCAACTTCTGCCCTGGTCCAGAGTGAAGAGAGAGGGGGCCGGGGGACAGTCCCATTTTGTCACATGCATATATCATCAGCTAGGGACCCCTCCCCCCAACACCAAGTTCTGCCCTGGGCCAGAGTGAAGAGAGAGGAGGCCAGGGGACAGTTCCACCTTGTCTCCTGTGCTATGTTAATAATATAACATAATACATTGCATATACATATAATATTTATAATATTATAATATAATGCAAGATAATACTAATAATAATATGATATTATAATTATATATTTATATTACATGTAATATTACTAATAATATTACAATATAATGGTATAATACAATATAGTAATAATTAATACTGATATTGTACTATTCTAATATAATATATTGTATGTATATATATCTTGTAAGCCACTCTGAGTCCCCTTCGGGGTGAGAAGGGCAACATATAAATGTCATAAATAAACAAACAAACAAACCTGAGGTCCATTTGGCATGTGTTTTACTACATAGCCCCCCCCCCCCTTTTGTGGCACAGCAGGTTAAACTGCTGAGCTACTGAACAGGTTCGAACTCAGGGAGCAGGTTGAGCTCCTGCTGTTAGCCCCAGTTTCTGCCAACCTAGCAGTTCAAAAACATTCATCTGTGAGTATATCAATAACTATCACTTCGCTGGGAAGGTAACAGCACTCCATGCAGTCATGCTGGCCACATGACCTTGGAGGTGTCTACAGACAACGCCGGCTCTTCGGCTTAGAAATGGAGATGAGCACCACCCCTCATGGTTGGACATGACTAGACTTAATGTCAGGGAAAACCTTTAACTTTACTGCATAGGAGGAAGTAGAATCTAGTTTTATTAGCCTCATGGCCTCCTTCTTCTTCTTTTCCTTCCCCCCAGATCTATGTGGAGTATGTCGTCAAAAATCCTCTGTGCAGCATGAATGAGACCATCCAGAGCGAGCTCTTTCGGAACAAGCTGGACAGTTTCATCCGTGGCCTGCCCTTCTTCTCCGCTCGGGCAGGCTAAGGTTCCCCATTCTCAGAAGACTATTTCCTGTGATGTGCATACAGATTGCCATGAGCCTGGCTCATTCTGCATTGGGGAATGCTATTGGGGCCCAATACCAGAACTCTGAGCTTGGGACAGCCACAGTCTTCTTGTGGCCTCCTCACCTCCCTTCTTCAGACCCTTCCACTGGCCATTCGTCTCTTGTGTTGCGGTCTCCTTCCCCTCCTCTGCTCTTAGATAGATAGGGCCTCGGGGTCTGCTCATGTGCCCTGGACTACTTTCTCCCCCTTACCCACAGTCCTTTGCTGTCCTAGACCTGTTCTTTTCTATTTATAGAGGCCACTTGCTTCTTTGCCTCCTCTCCCTGCTCCCCCAGTTCCTATTTATAGTCTTCCCCTGCTTTTCCAGTTCAGTGCGCTTCCTCAGCCGCCTGGACATGACATCAAGCTCCCTGGGGACATAAAGAGACATTGCAGCAGCCTGCCTTTTCCAAATACATCTCTTCCAAAAGACAAATTAATGATCTGGTTTCTCATTTCTGCTGCTGAGAAGTATCATTGCGTACGAAAGGTTGAGAAACAATCCACACCTTTTGCTTTTGTTTGTTTTTTAAACTATACTTGAACTTTTGTGAAATGCTAATAAGGAATGTGTTGACAGCTCGTGAGAAGTTGGCCGACCTCTTTCAGTCCCAGGCCGTTGAAAATTACCTTCCTACTTAGCTGCTGCCAATATGCATTGTAGTTTTTCTGTTTACACAGTGGCTACTGGCAATCCATCAAGGCTGTTTAGGAGCGCTTCCAAGAAAACCTGGGCAATTGGTGAGAGTCTTGGCCATCTCAGTCCCAATTCAGGAGATGCCAAAACCAAGCGAGGCATATTAAAATGTCAGCTCCAAGTTCTGACTTCATGCTGGCCTTTTTATTTTACTTCTTTAGGCTAAGACAGTGTTTCTCAACCCTGAGGGTCAGGACCCCTGGGAGGGTCGCAAGGGGGTTTGAGAGGAGTCACCAAAAAATCATTAGAAAACATATATTTCTAATGGTCTTAGGAACCCCTTTGGAAGACAAGGTTGAAGACCTCTCCATCTGTCCTTCTCTTCCTTCTAGATCTAGGGAAGTAAGTAATGCTACCCCTCTATTCTGCTTTGTTTAGACCACACCTGGAATATTGTGTCCAATTCTGGGCACCACAATTCAAGGAGATATTGACAAGCTGGAATGTGTCCAGAGGAGGGCGACTAAAATGATCAAGGGTCTGGAGAACAAGCCCTATGAGGAGTGGCTTAAGGAGCTGGGCGTGTTTAGCCTGAAGAAGAGAAGGCTGAGAGGAGATATGGTATCCATGTATAAATATGTGAAAAGAAGCCACAGGGAGGAGGGAGCAAGCTTGTTTTCTGCTTCCCTGGTGATTGGATGTGGAACAATGGCTTCAAACTACAAGAGAGGAGATTCCATCTGAACATGAGGAAGAACTTCCTGACTCTGAGAGCTGTTCAGCAGTGGAACTCTCTGCCCCGGAGTGTGGTGGAGGCTCCTTCTTTGGAAGCTTTTAAACAGAGGCTGGATGGCCATCTGTCAGGGGTGATTTGAATGCAATATTCCTGCTTCTTGGCAGAATGGGGTTGGACTGGATGGCCCATGAGGTCTCTTCCAACTCTTTGATTCTATGATTCTATGAAACAGACAGCAAATCCTCCCACCAAAAGCCCTCCTCCTGCTGTGATTGGCCACCCTCAAGGAGAAGGCTGTTTCTGAGATTCTGAGTGGGAAGGGGAGAGCAGGCATGCTTGGCACATGGCAGTGTGGTGTGCATGTGCAGGTAAGGGACAGCATGCAAGGCTGGAAGGAGGCTCGTGTCAGCAAGTCCCTTCAAGGCATGGGAGTTCTGTTTGGGAGGTTTGGCCCAATTCTGTTGTTGGTAGGATTCAGAATGCCCTTTGAATATAGGTGAACTAAAATAATAACTTCATTTTTGTACCCCGCCTCCATCTCCCCAGAGGGACTCAGCGCGGCTTACATGGGCCCAAGCCAGCAATTTTAACTTTCAAATGGCAAGGTCTATTTTCCCTAAACTCCATTTGTGTTCACATTTGGGCATATTGAGTATTCATGCCAAGTTTGGTCCAGATCCATCATTGTTTGATTCCACAGTGTTCTCTGGATGTAAGTGAACTACAGCTCCAAAACTCAAGGTCACTGCGTACCAAATCCTTCCAGTATTTTGTTGGTTCAATTCCATCATTGGTGGAAATCAGAATGCTTTTTGATTGTAAGTGAAGTATAAATCCCAGCAACTACTACTCCCAAATGACAAAATCAATCCTCCCCCCAACACCAATTTTGGTGTATTGGGTATTTGTGCCCAATTTGGCCCAGTGAATGAAAATATATCCTGCATATCAGATATTTACATTATGTTTCAGAACAGTAGTGTTAGGGATTCCTCATCTTCAGAGAAAGAAGGGGAGCAGGGAAGTGCTCAGGAATTGGAGGGAGAAGAAGAATCAGACGATGAGAGTTTGAAAGTGCCCACATTTCTAGAGAGACAAAAAGAGACAGAGCACAGACGGCATTCAGGTAGGACAGCTGCTAAAAACGTGGAGCTAATTGGGAGACGCCCTAGCACTTCCTGCGTGGGGAATTCAGGGCTACAAATCAGTAGCAGGAGCAGTCAGCTTTTGCTGGTAACAAAGACCCTGATACTGATGTTTCCACTCCAAAATCTGCTTTGTGTCTGCTGCTAAGAACTTAGTTCATCGCCCGTTATTTGATGGAAGACTGGTGTTTCTTTTGGGACTTTGTAAGAGACTTTAATTTGTGTCTGGATTAAGACTTCCTTGCTTTCCTTTGCACTTTTCAATTGCATTTGCTTATCCTTTGTGTTTGCTGAAGTAAAGCATTTTTCTTTTACATTCAACATTGTCTAAAGCAATGGTTCTCAACCTGGGGTCCCCAGTTGTTTTAGGCCTACAACTCCCAGAAATCCCAGCCAGTTTACCAGCGGTTAGGATTTCTGGGAGGTGAAGGCCAAAAACATCTGGGGACCCCAGGTTGAGAACAACTGGTCTAAAGGCTGTTTTTGAGGGGCAACTCAGGACAAGTAACAAAATGACAGTTCCGATGTAGCAACGAAAATAATATTATGGTTGGTGGTCACTACAACATGAGGAACTGTATTAAATGTTCATGGCATTAGGAAGGTTGAGAACCACTGATATAAAAGTTTCTGCAGCTGTGCCTCTAGGCCAGGCCTAGGCAAACTTGGGCCCTCCAGGTGTTTTGGACCGCAACTCCCACAATTCCTAACTGCCGGTAGGCTGTTAGGAATTGTGGAAGTTGCGGTCCAAAACACCTGGAGGGCCCAAGTTTACCCAGCCCTGCTCTAGGCCAAAATGTAAGTGCGGGGGTTTGCTTCTGCGTATATTCTCTGCTCCCAAAAGCAGCTGGTGGACTCCTTTTACATATTTTGGTTGCTCCAGGCATCTTCTGCTCTGCAATTTTCCCCCCCAGTTTGTACTTATTTCCAGCCTTTTAAATGCAACTAAATCAGAAATAACTGCGCTGTGTGTCTTTGTGTCATGATAAATTTTGCATGCGTTGAAAGCTTCAGCACTCATTCCATTAAATGTTACACCCGCAGCCTGGAAATGAGCCTAATGAAGTGTCAGGGGATGGCTGGGTTGATGGCTTGGGCTCTTCTGGCTGAGTCATATTCAGTCTCCACCTCTCAGGCCAAGATTGAGTTTGGCAGTGATCGGAGTAGAGTTTGAAGTTGCGTGAGTTTGGTGCCATCTCCTTGCAGTTCCTCACTTGTTTCGCTTCGTGCTGCCAATCTTCGGTTGTTCGTCCAACAGGCATCTTTGGAAAGATGCTTGTGGTACAGAGCGACCTACATTCTGCTGCGGAGGAAGGCCTGTGAGGGCGGCGTTTAGTCTCATAATAGCAGGCCAAACTTAATGACTTCATTCTTGAATTTTGTAGGCTGAGAGCATGTGCCCAGCAGTGTTTCTCAACCTTCCTTATGCCACGACCCCTTAATATGGTTCTTCACATTGTGGTGAACACCAACCATAACATTATTTCCATTGCTACTTCACAACTGTAATTTTGCTACTGTTAGGAATCATAATGTAAATGTCATTGCTGGGATTTATAGTTAACCTACAATCAAAGAGCATTCTGAACTCTACCAACAATGGATGTGGAGCACTAATCTATATAAATAAAAATGTAATGTTCATTTGTGGGATTAATAGAACTGAAAAACCAGTGGGCCAATTGATACCAAATTTGGACAGCATATACCTAACAACCCAATGTATGTCCTTCACTCAATTTTTTTTTATTTTGTCATTTGGGAATTGGGGTTGCTGGGATTTATAGTTCACCTAAAATCAAAGAGCATTCTGAACTCCACCAATTATGGCATTGAACCAAACGTGGCATACAGGACTCCCATGGCCAACAGAAAGCGCTAGAAGGGTTTGGTGGGCATTGACCTTGAGTTTGGGAGTTGTAGTTTGCATACATCCAGAGAGCCCTGTGGACTCAAACAATGATGGATCTGGACCAAACTTGGCACAAATATTCCATATGCCCAAATATGAACACAGATGGAGTTTGGGGAAAATAGACTTTGACATTTGGGATTTGTAGTTACTGGGATTTATAGTTCACCTATAAAAAGAGCATTTTGAATCCCACAAACCACAGAATTGGGGCAAATTTCCCACACAGAACCCCCATGACCAACAGAAAATACTTAAGGCTATCCAGTCCAACTCCCTTCACCAGGGCAAGAAAATGTAATCAGAGCCCTCCTGACAAAGAGCCATCCAGCCATAGATATAAATATATATGATTCACACACACACACACACACAGATATAGCATCATAGATTTGAAAGGGACCCCTAAAGAAGGACAGTGATATGTTGCATATTCCAGAGTAGACAAACCAGACACTCTCCACATCAACACTGACAAAGAAACAAGAAATACTGTTTACCCACAAGCATAAAGACATTACCTATATTAGAAACCAACACTTTCTCATTATTTTTCACTGGGCCACAGCAATGCGTGGCAGGGAACAGCTAGTCTATATAAATAAAAATGTAATGTTCGTTTGTGGGATTAACATAACTTGAAAACCACTGGATGAATTGACACCAAATTTGGACACAAGACACCTAATGTATGTCCTTCACTAAAATTGATTTTGTCATTGGGAGTTGTAGTTGCTGGGATTTATAGTTCACCTACAATCAAAGAGCATTCTGAACCCCACCAACGTTGGAATTGAACCAAACTTGGCACACAGTTCTCCCATGACCAACAGAAAATACTGGAAGGGTTTGGTAGGCAGTGTCCTTTGGTTCTGGAGTTGTAGTTCACCTACATCCAGAGATCACTGTGGACTCAAACAATGATGGATCTGGAACAAACTCTGCACGAATACTCAACATGCCCAAATGTGCACCCTGGTGGAGTTTGGGGAAAATACAATCTTGA